TTTTAAACAAAAAACCCCCAGGTAAACGCAGGTGCTCGGGTGATGAGTGCGGGTTTTACGCCAAGACATCATGGCATTACGGTGGCATGAAAACGAGTGTCACTTGTTACACCATTCACCGTAAGGGAATGCAAGACAGTGGCAAAGTTGATCGAGTGACTAATGAACGTATACGAAAACCAGTGAGTGATTGATTATACACAAAACATGCGCTTGGTTGACAAATGTGACATGCAGATTGGCTTTGTTGATTGTGCTTGTAAAAGTTACAAGTGGTACATGAAACTTTTCTTCCATCTCATGGACATTTCAATGCTCAATGCATATAATATGTACCAAATGAAGACTGGCAACAGACCACCGTATGGTGAATTTTTGTTTGTCTGTTGTCAGACAACTCATAATGAAGTACCAGGTAACAACACCTGCTATACAACAAGGTCCTCGAACTCCTCAGGATATACCCAAGCGTTTGAGGAGGGAAGGTGATCATTTCGTAATACAGCTTCCTTCAACTCAGAAGAGATGCATCGGCTGTGCACAAACAAAACTACGGCAACAAAGACCAACAACACTCGGTTTGTGTGAGGAATGTGAGGTACCTCTGTGCATGGTGCCTTGTTTCAGAGAGTTCCACAAGCTCCAGCAGTTCTAAAACCATGTCCAGTGATTGTAAATATGTAAATATATGATAGAACATTAGTATTATACAAGATTTGTGCATGTTTATTGTAATAAACAACAGTGGTAAATAATAATTGATAATAACTTTAGTGCGGTTATTGTGTTCAATACAGTGAGTTTATATATCTATACATTATATACAGTATTGGTCTCTCAGGCCCCAAATGTTAGTAGAAAAGAAAAAAATTAGAAAAGAAAAGAAAAACTACAAAAAACAGTAAACAAAGTAATGTGCGTATGTGGAAATCATCGCTGTTGCCACCACCACGTCATTTGGGGCAAACTTCTCGGCACTGTATCTCGGTAAGTACTGATCAGAATTTTTTTTTTTGTCTTATTACCTTTACAAAATATACTCTTTAATTCTGTAAGAAAAAATATTTCTTGGACACTGGAAGCACCACTTCAGATCTTGGCCTTGGACCCTGAAGGGGTTAAAAGAGCGTCTTTGCAGTGTTTTTTTCTCCTGTTTTTTACAGTTGTATTTGCGATTTCTTGGTCTCATTTCATAGAATGGAATACATATTACAGAAATAGGGATGATTTTGATTGGTTTTAGTACTGAAAATGGCTGAAACTGAGCTCAAAGTAGCGGAAATGTTCAATTTTTGCTGATGTTCAAGAGTAAACAAATGTCATCACAAATCTAATACGCATCAGCTGGTGGGTCTGATATACATTCACGAATATGCTGATATTATTTATACAATTATTACAACATTGCATAACAGTAAATCTTCTATTTTTTGGTGTAAATAAAAATTCATTATATGAATTAAAAATCAAAATGGAATTCATTTGTAAACCCTGAAAACATAACTAATGAACAGAGGAAATGTTAGTTTTAGTGCCAGGAATGCCTGCATGGTTTATTCTGGACCCTATTTTGAAGCAAATAATTTGAACTTTGTGTTAAATTGGGCAAATTACCAATTCCGATCGCTTTATTGGGTAGTTGAAACAGTTTACCTGGGCAATTTCTTGTGCTCAATCAATAAAATAAAAGGGAATACTAGCGAAATAGCTAAGAATTTGGTCAACTGGAATAATGTAATCAGCCTAAAATGGGAGTCAAATTCGGCAAAATTGCCAATGTGTAAATATCGCTGACACATCAAAATTTGCAAGAGCATAATTTCATCAGTTTTCCATCAAATATCGTACTTTTTGCTTTATTACCTTCAGAAAAAGATTCTGTACCATTTCATAAGAAAAAATAACAAAAAAGATTTTTGAAAATTCTTGGACTCTGGCTGTCACTCTGAGAATTGGCCTCTGGACCCTGAAAGGGTTAATAGTATTGTACTGTGTGCAGTTGAAAGGCATATATAACTAACACACAGTGTATAGGACAAAAAGTGTTACTGCTGTTTTCTCTATTTTATTATGGTCATTTATAAAAGATGAAAAGGTAATGAATTTTAAATCATGGAAACTGTAAGTTCCAAATATCATTGTTGTGTTAATTGAAATATTTTTTGCCGTCAGTTTCCTTTGAAGTATTTACTAATGTGATTGTTTCACTTTTATTTTCTCTTATATTTCAAACTGCAGCACTGTACATTGTTGTTAAATATGTAAACAGTGCTGAAGCCATATTTCTTCCAGGAGAATACACAAATAATCCACATGTAGGAGACTCAAACTTTTGATTTTTTTCTGATTTTCAATTGTAAATACTCTATTGCTTTAGGGTTTTGAGATAGTTTTGAAACTGGATTTTTTATTGCTATGTAAAAGTTGTAATATTTGGTTGATGTAACTGTTTGATCCTAAATACTTTGAATAGGAACTCTGTATTGTATTGCTTACAGAGTATAATTCTTTTTTATTGAGTGTTTTTGTCATGATCACTTTACTTATATAAATAACAAGATCATATGTAGACACATGAAGAGATTATCTCTGAAATACTTGGATTTTTAAAGTAATTATTCTTTAAGAATTATTTGATTATATTTATTTCAGTTGTTAGATGAGAAGCATATATTGCAACAACAGCAGCAGCATTTGCAGAAACAGCAAGCACAACCCAGTCAACAGCAGCAACAGCAGGTGCACCTACAACAGCAATCACATCAGGTTCTCCAGAGAAATCAAGACTACGAAAAACAGCATGCACCTGATAACACAAAGATATATTCTCCTACGGCCTTAATACATTCACAGCCCAAACCCATGTCTGCAGAAGAACGAAGAAAATTTGAGGTAACGAATAGTGATAATATTAAAATAATTATAACCCAGTTTTGTAACTTATATTAAAAAAAAAATATGCCCCTCTTTTAAAAACTGAATGAATTAACATTATAGCTTCTTATCTTTGATCTAAGTTCAATGAATTCTTAGGATATATCCTATAGGTTATTATTATTATTACAGCCTCTTATCATTGACCTACAGTTCAATGATTATTTTAGGATATATCGTTTAGGTTTTTATGAATAGCTTTTCAAGTGTATTCATAATGTATGTGCAGGGGGCCTCAACTGAGAAATGGCTAAGTTATGAACTAGATTCATCAGAAATAATTTTTAAATTGTTTTAGGAATGCCAGTGTGCAGTTATGAACACATTTCACCGTATAACCATCATTTCTAATACCCTGTATTATATTTATTGGAAAATGGTAGTTTCGAACAATTTGTTCGTAATTAGAAATGCAACTTATATATTTGTTATTTGGGGACTCGGTCCATATTTCTGGGCAGTGTTCACAATTTAATGTCCAGATGCTCGAGCAAATTGCAGGTGAAATAAGCCTGGTAAGTAACTGGAGGATTTAAAAAAAAAAAGCGCTAAACCTACAAGGGTCATACAGCGCAGTAACTGGAGGAAGTGTTACCTGATCTTGCAACAGTAGCAGTACTATGTGCAGCCCATAGAGGCTTATATTAGCTGAATGACCTCTGCAACGAATGCTTGTCTGTTAAATCCAAGTGTAGCTTTCAGGAATCTCAAGCAAAGAATCATTTTGAACCTTTTAATCAACAAATGTCAGTCCTATCTTGGACACAATACAGCACCAGTATGAAACCCACACCTGAAAAAAACCATGTTAAGTTGTAGAAAGTTCAGAAGCATGCAGCAAGGCTTATTCCAGAGCTAAGGGATATGAACTATGAAGAGAGGCTAAAGGATTTGAATAATCACAAGACAGAAGAACCATGGCACACATGATAAAAACGTACAAAATACTCAGAGGAATTGATAGGGTATACATGGACAGCATATTTGAGAGAATGAAAGTTATAAACACAGACAAGCTAAAGGAATATCAGAAGTAAATTTTTAGTCTTGGTGAAGTTGGTAAGTGAAATGATCTTGAAGTGGTTTTAAGGCCCTTGAGGCTAGGAGGGAGTAAATCTGGCAATCAGCAAGTTGAGGAACAGGGCCAGGACTTTGACTGTACCCCCCTGCAGTGTATCCTCAACACATTAGCATTATCCAACATATTTCTTACCTTAACCCTTAAACGGTCCAAACGTATATATTCACTCGCGCAGCGCCCCGAATATTTTGAGAAAAAAACAATTATAGAAAAAAAAGAGCACATTTCTTTTTTAAGTATTTTAGAATAAAAAAAAAAATTTAGGGTCAGTACTGAGATATGAGGTCGAGAAGTTGGCACTGGGTGCTCACGTGACAGCAACATCAAGTCCTGCCCGCTTGCAGAAGTGTTGCCGTTAACCTTTTTTTCTACATATTTTATGTAATTTTTATGTTCTGATAATTACAATTTGTAGTAGTTCTTTTCATTTTATAACCAATCTTTGTTCTGACACTAGTATTAGGTACTGAAATTGTACTCAAACACACTGACAGGTGGACATTTACACCTGCCTTAGCCATTTAATATTGTCTTGGAATATATACAAAGTATTTATAGTCCCAACAATGTTTTGGATATGTGGAAGTATATAATAACAATGAGGAGGAGGAGAATAATACATAATAATAATAGGTAATAATAAGTTCCCTTGAAGCATGAAAAACAAAGTCCACCCCTGACAGTGACATGATGAGATAACAACTGAAAGAGCTGACGTTTGATGAGCATACACGAGGGTGCAGCTGATAAGAAAAGATTAGGGGTGATATTTGATGAGCATGGCCCTCGCTTTGTTTTCGCTGGTACACAAACATGTCTGTCTATCCGTCTAGCTCTCTGTCTCAGAGAGAGCCACAAGACTGCGTCTTCATCATGTTTACTCACATCTTCAAGCAGAGTATAGCACTTTGTCTGGATTTTTGGGGTTATCCTAGGTAATTTACACTATGTGTACCTGTGAGACAGAGATACAGACAGATTGAAAAAGATAGAGACAGACACAGATAGACAGACCCTAAACTTGGGTTAACATCACTTTCCTCTTAAAAGAGGAGTGTTAAATATACATTAAAAATTGAATCCTTGGTGTTTGCCTACGTTGCTCTACTGCGTTAAATTTAACCCTGGCGCTCCCAAGGTACAAATGGTCCCAGTTTTTTTTTAATACTGCCACCTGATGTTAGACCCATTCATCTGACAAGGCTCCGGGGCCAATCATCCCAAAATTTAAGGGCAGAAAAAATAAAACGTATATATACTTTTTGACCGTTAAAAAGGTTAAAATAGCTTATTTCTAGTTTCATAGACTATCTTAAGTATTTCATTGTTTCTTATTGAAAGGTCCCTGTTTTTAGGGCTAACCAACTGATAAATTTTATGGAACATACAGCTCAGGAAGCATTTCGTTTAAACATGACTATATATGGGAAAACGGGTTTATAATCCTGAACAATCAGCTTGTGAACAATTTTCGGGAAATGGAGGACCTACTGACCTAAAAAAAATTTAATTAAGAAAATCAACTTGCCTCGCATAAAACTATTTAAGTGTACTGAATTGTCTTATTTTTGAAAAGGAGATGTGACTTTTTTTTCCCCTGGACACACCAAATTTTGTTAATGCTGCTCCTACACATGCTTTTAAATAAAAATTTATGCTTATTCGATAAATTATTTAAGAATAAATTTCAAACAAAGCACATGAAAAAAGGGCACGCCTAAAAAATAAACATTCTTATCCAAATTTGTAAAAAAAAATATGAACTAACCAGACTTACACCAAGAAATTTTTATACATAATTAAAATTTTTTTTTTAAACATCCAGCCATCTCCCACAAAGGGCAAGGGCCTGAAAAAAAAGGGAAAATTTTTCATATAGTTTTTCTTCTATTCACTTTTAAAATTTATGCAGTACTAGATTCTTCCCCACTTCCTCATGGAAAAAAACCCATATACCAAAGATAAAATGCTTTAAAATGCAGAAAAAAAAAAATACGTAGGGCCCCCACTTATAACGGCGGGGTTGGGTTTTCCGGGCTACCGCCGTAAACGGAAATCGCCAAAAGGAACATTTTTTTTTTTTTTTCCATTTAAAAATCATCAAAAACTAATAAAAATTTTTACACTAACTTTTTAATTTAACAAAGAACTAGGCATAAAAAAAACAAAAAAAAAAATACAAACACACATAGTGCACCATTCTTACCTTAAAATATTATAGTCTTAATCAGGGTGAACAAAAAGTTTTAATTGTAAGAAATCAAGTGTGGTAGTATGTATCACCCGGGGGCTACCATACCAGCCAACCCACCTACACATAATATTCTATTACATTTAAGCATCCCCCAGCGAAAAAATGATATACATTCACTCATTACTTTCCTTAAAATATTTGTAGTCTTAATGTAGGGTCAACAAAAATGAAATAAAACAATAAAGAGAGAGAGAAAGAATGGTGCATGAGAAGGGCGGCACAGAGTTATTAAACAAACCAGGGAAAGGGAATTTTGCAAAAAAAGGAAAACGTCTGGGTTTTTTTTACAAGTTACATTGCTCAGGTTTTCTCTTCATTGATACGGTAGAATAACATGTAAAAAACATTTTTAGAAAAATGACCCTGAGTGAAGGCAATGGAAATAAGTACTCTGACTTTTTTTTTTTGGGTTTTCCAGGTTCCACACGTTCTTTTTTTTTTTTTTTTTTTTTTTTCCCCAAGTCGGTCGTCTCCCACCGAGGCAGGGGGACCCAAAAAGAAAGAAAATCCCCAAAAAAAAAAACTTTCCATCATTCAACACTTTTACCAACCACACATTACACTGCTTTTTGCAGAGGGGCTCAGAAACAACAGCTAGAAATACACATATAAAGATACACAACATATCCCTCCAAACTGCCAAAATCCCCAAAACCCCCCCTTTAAAGTGCAGGCATTGTACTTCCCATTTCCAGGACCAATCCGACTAATGAAAAAAAACCGGTTTCCCTGAATCCCTTCACTAAAAATTACCCGCCACACCCAAAAAGACGCGGTCCCAAGATCCCTTCGTCCCATTCACCCTATCAACACCTCTGCACGCTTTTTGGAAGCCAAACCCCCGCCCACAAAACCTCCTTTACCCCCCCCTTTCCCAAACCCCTTTTGAGGACACCCCCCCACTCCTCTTCCTTCCCCCCATAGATTTTTTATGCTTTTTATGTCATTCACTTTTTTTATCCATTTTTCCTAAAGGGCCAAAGCACCTCAACAACCCCTCTTTTTGCCCTCTACTAAAGCTTTTATTAACTCCCCCCCAACCCCCTAATTCCCCCTCCCTTTTCGGCATAATATTTTCACCACACATTGCCCTTAGACAGAACATCTCCACTGCCTCCAACCGTCTCCTCGCTGCTGCATTTACCACCCAAGCTTCACATCCATATAAGAGTGTTGGTACTACTATACTTTCATACTTTCCCCTTTCTTTGCCTCCATAGATAACGTTTTTTGACTCCACATATACCTCAACGCACCACTCACCTTTTTTCCCCCCATCAATTCTATGATTAACCTCATCCTTTATAAATCCATCCGCCGACACGTCAACTCCCAAGTATCTGAAAACATTCATTCTTCCATACTCCTCCTCCTCAATTTGATATCCAATTTTTCTTTATCTAAATCATTTGATACCCTCATCCCCTTTTACTCTTTTCTATGTTCACTTTCAACTTTCTACCTTTACACACATTCTCAAACTCATCCACTAACCTTTGCAATTTTTTCTTTAGAATCTCCCATAAGCACAGTATCATCAGCAATTCCCATTTTGAATTTGATTCCCCATAATTTAATCCACCCCTCTCCCGAACACCTAGCATTTACTTCTTTTACAACCCCATCAAATAAATATATTAAACAACCATGGTGACTTACACATCCCTGTCTAAAAACCTACTTTTACCGG